TGTGAAGGCTGGAGTGGGCAGGGCATCATGGGTCCAGGTCACAAGTGCCAGCAAGGAAGAACAGCTGGGCGTCTCTGCTGCTGCCTGCCTGCCTGATCTTGACAAGTTACTTGAACCATCCACTGGTCCGTCAGTCGTATGGAACCTAGTGTCCTTCTCTGTACTGTGCTTACATTTGCTGCATTCAGACCTGGCGCTGACATTGCGGCTGACCCTCTGACCCAGTGGCATGGGCCATCTCTCTTCTTTCTTAGTCTCTTCAGCCCTAAGCAACACCAAAGACAGCCCTGTGCTCTTGGATTTCTTCGAGGATCCCGAGCTTTACAGAGAACAAGCCACCAAAGCCCTCGACAAGTACAAAGGGGAAAAGGGCGAATTTGCCTCTTTCAGAGTGGAGAAAGTGGAGAGGGTTGTAAGAGCGGTGAGTTTCCAACACGCCGGCCCGCGGGTGTGAGCTGAGGGGCGCACCCCGTATACCGGCCTCGCCCGGCCAGCTGCCTTTTCAATCACCAAAGCCTTCGATGCTTGGCAAACGGCAACCCCAATGCCCAGCTCTTCCAGAACTTCTTTTACTTGAGAGAGTGTGGAATGAGGATGCAGTGACTATGTGACAGGGGGGAAAAAAAAGAAAATCACCATTGGTTATTAAAAACCATCCAATGTTAGCCTTCTTATATTGTGGTTAGAATAACACTGAGGCTCAAAATAAAGATCCTCACCATGACCAGCATCGTAGCCAATGCTGAAAGTCCCTGCCTCACAGACCAAGAATTCTAGAGCCTCCCACACAGAACTGTCAGGTAGCACAGCCAGTTGATGTTTGGCATTTGCTTTTTTTTTTTAATTATTTTTTATTTATTTATTTATTTATTTATTCATTCATTTATTTATTTATTTATTTATTTATTTATTTATTTTTTGAGACAGGGTTTCTCTGTGTAGCTTTACGCCTTTCCTGGAACTCACTTTGGAGACCAGGCTGGCCTCGAACTCACAGAGATCCGCCTGCCTCTGCCTCCCGAGTGCTGGAATTAAAGGCGTGGGCCGCCACCACCCGGCAAAAAATGTTGTTTTTTTTTTTTTAAGAATCGTTTTTTAAGATTTTTTTTTTATTTGTAAGTGTATGAGTGTTTGCTTGCATACATGTATGTGCAGTCTGTGTGTGCTCTGTCCCCAAGGATCAGAAGAGAGCATTAGATCTCCTGCTGGGGGTACTGGGAATTGAACTCATGTCCTTTGAAAGAGGAGCAGGTACTCTTAACGGCTGAAATATTTCTCCAGCCCCGCCAAGTGTTTTTGGAAAGGGAAAATTGACTAGATCATGGTGTATTGTGCAATGGGATACAAATACTGTTTTTGCTGTGAAGAATGTTCTGGACTCACGTGTATTGGCCAGAGGGAAGGAGCAGGTTGCAGTCCAATACTTAGCTCATGAGCCCATGTAAATGAAGTATTTAAATATTTATATATTTCTGCAAATAGACAAAGCCTAAATGGAGAAACACATCAGACCAATGGCAATGGGGCTGGGGAGATGGTTCACACGTTAAGAGTACTAACTGCTCTTCTAGAGGATCTGGGTTCGATTCCCAGCATCTACATGATGGCTCCCAATCCTCTGTAACTCTTATTCCACAGGATCTGATGCCCTCTTTTGACCCCCTTGGACACTGCATGTGCATGGAGCACAGACATGCATGCAGGAAAAACACTCCACACATAAAAATGTAAATAAAATGAAAGAAAAAAAACCAGTAATGGTGACATCCCTCAAGAATGAGGGTCTGGGCTCAGCGAGGGTGCTTTTCCCTGCTGTGCTTACGCCTGTATATCAGAGAGTTTCTGTGAAGTGGTGACCTCTTCTCACTGATGCAATATATTTTTAGAAGGCAGAAACCATAGAAAAATAGCATGTATTCATCGTTTTCATTCCCATGGTGCTTTAAGAGATATTGAATAATAGGTGTCTGTTGCTTTTCCTCTTAACTTTGTATGCTCCTGAAACTATGTTGATTCCTCTGTTCCAGAGAGGAGGAGAAAGAACCAACTACTATGTGGACTTCTCCATGAGGAACTGTTCCACACAGCGTTTCCCCAGACACCCTCCAGTAAGTATGACAAACACCTCTGAAACGCCGTCATTCAGAGAGGGCTCACTACTTGAAGGAGCCCTTCCAAAGGTTTCATACACATGTTCACTTACCAACACTCACACTACCACTGTAGAAGGAAAGCGCTCATATTTTTCTGGTTTACAGATGGCAAAATGGTTTTAACATATACATGATTTCATATAATATACACCTGAAATTGGGTTTTCAATTCATCAAGACTAAAAGCTTCGTGAACTAATAATCAGCATGTACTAGAGCCATCTACAACCATGAATCAACCCCCACAGAGATCCCAAATGACAAGTGAAGAAGTTATTGTGGTCCTGCCACGGTTCACAGCCAAGCTCGGATCAGAATGCAGGTCTTTCCTGCAGGACTTCTTCCCCAGTCAAATTTACCCATTATCTGTTGGAAGACCTTGCTAACAATACTGGATATTTCCTCCCTTTAGCCATCGTTTAGCGGGTATTTGGTCACAGTGATGAGAAAGTGGCTGATACACATGGTGTCTTGGCATTTACAAAGCATCTCTACCTACTGTCTGCTGAGCTTCATGGCAATCCCACAGAGGGATGCAAGTGTCCGGCTCCATTATCCTGGCATAAGGAGGCCTGAAATCTCTTTCTGTTGTTATTGTTATTTTGTTTGTTTTTGTTGTTGTTTTGGTTTGGGTTTTTGTTTTTGTTTTGTTTTGTGGCCCTGACTGTTCTGGAATTTGCTCTGTAGTCCAGTGTGGCCTCGAACTCAGAGAGTGAAGTGCTGGGACTAAAGGGGTGTGCCACCACCCACCCAGAGAGGCCATTTACCTGTGCACTCTTAGCTAGAAAGTGCCAGTGAATGGAAACTCCATTCTGATCTCAACGCCAGGGCTTTTCTGGGGTTTAATGACTCTCTCACTTTCTCTGGCCAGAAGGGAGGAAGCATTGATTGTTTTGTGTTCCAACTGCTCAAATTTCCCACGGGAGTCAGTCCTAGATTCCTACTCAGAAGCCACAAAAGACAAGACATTCTTCTCCTAAACCCGTCCCTAACAAACTCTACACTGTGTTTGTGGGGTGCTAAAAACCCAGTGCGGAATCTCGAGGGCTGGAGAAGGGGAAGTTAACAGCCTCACCTCCCTTAACCAAAGCTGCTTGCAATCTGTGGGTAGACAGCATCATACTCATTTCACAAACACCGAATTTCAGAACTTGTGTACGATTTGTCCTCTATTCCTGCTAAACGGTAAAGCCACATTCATATAGGTTTGGTTTGTTTTCAAAACTGCATAGACAGCCTCAACGCATGGCTTTTTCTAGAGATGAACTGTCTTCTTGTCCTTTGACAAAGGGGGTTAGGGGCTTCCAGAGCACAGGGACGCCAGCCGTTAGGGCCAGCAGACATGTTCACAGGGCCACGTAAGCGCATCCTTGCAGTGACTCTGCCCTTCCCAGCACTTGCAAGTTACACAATTCCATCTTCTACAGCGTTCCTCATTCTCCCAGGTGCAAGCAACCCGGACCTTTAGTGCAGAATCACTGGGCTAAGAGCAGCGGGGACATACTGCCTAGTGCTGCGGGCCAAAGGACAGTCCTCATGTCTGCTCATGGCAGACATCCAGAGACGTCTGAATAAAACCCTGGGGCACCTGTACCTGACCCAAATGTTGACTAGATAACACTGATAAATAACTTAGGGGGTGTATGAGCATGGTCCTCAGTTTTCCCTGGTTTTGTTCAGGTGTCGTACATGAGAGGCAAGGACTCCATCGGGAAGTTATAGATCTGGCCCCTTTCTTCTCACTCATTTCAAGCTTTCTTCGGTTGGAAATCTTCACACCCCTGTCCTGAGACAGAGAGGCAGACAGACAGACAGACAGACAGACACACACACACACACACACACACACACACTCACTGTACATACACTAGCAGGCATCTCCCTTTGCAGGTCTTTGGATTCTGCAGAGCACTTCTGTCCTACAATGTGGAAGCCTCTGATTTGGAAGCCCCAGAAGACACTGTCATCAACTGTGAAGTCTTCGACTTCGAGGTGGGCTGCCTGAGCATCCTTTGTCATCAGAAGGGCCGGGCCAAGTGATATTTCCACACATAGTACCTTCGGTTCATTTGGCTTTTATGATGTGTGTGTGTGTGTGTGTGTGTGTGAGAGAGAGAGAGAGAGAGAGAGAGAGAGAGAGACAGAGACAGAGACAGAGAGAAAGAGAGAGAGACAGAGACAGAGACAGAGACAGAGAAACAGAGACAAAGAATAGGTTTGTTGTCACCAAGAACATGGCTCCATAGATGTTATTTGTTTGTTTGTTTGTTTGTTTGTTTGTTTGTTTTGAGACAAGGCCTCACTATGTAGCATTGGCTGGTCTGGAACTCACCATGGAGACCAAGCTGACCTCAAACTGCTAGTGATCTGCCGACCTCTGGTTCCCAAGTGCTAGGATTAAAGGTATCCATCGTCACACCCAGCCATATGTACACCACCATGCCCAACCATAGATTTATTTTTTTAAGTTAAAGTCTGTTGGTATACAACTGTGATTCCAACATGTGGGACATGAAATAGAAGAATGCCCAAGTTCCCTGCCAGCCTGAGCTACAGGGAAAGACTCAGGGTCTTTTGTTTGTTTTGTTTAAAAAAAAAAAAAAGAGCTAAAGTTGAGGGTGTAGACAGTGTCATCTGTCCTCTGGAAGAGTGACTGAGTGTCTGTCCATCCTCTGGAAGAGTTTCTTGGGAATGTGTTGTGGATGTCAGACCCATCACAGGATGCTAATTTAATAGAATAGACAAGTACCCTTCCTTGATAGAGTTTCATCGCTTTTCATTGAAATGAGAAAAATAAGAACAAAAAAAAATTATTTTTTAGTTGTTCAAAACAGTGTTTCTCTGTGTAGTTTTGGTGCCTGTCCTGGATCTCACTCTGTAGACCAGGTGGGCCTCAAACTCACAGAGATCAGCCTGGCTCTGCCTTCCGAGTGCTAGGATTAAAGGCGTGCCCCACCACTGCCTGGCGATTTGTGAAATCTTTGAGAGTCTCCAGTCTAAGTCAAGCCTAACATCTAATTTCTTACATAATTAATTATATTCGCTTTCTGTGTCCTTTACCAGGAGAGAAACGTGAGTGATGTAAAACCCCCTTGTGGCAAACATATGTGCAAGTTCAGTGGATCCGGGGGTCGTCATCATACCCACAAGGCACATGGACATGGCCACCCACCTCCACCAGAAGGAACACACGACTCAGACAGACCACCACACCAAGGAGGGTCCCTCCCACCGCGCCACTCCCATAGACCCCCTCATAATCACAGTTGTGAGCCTCCTTTCCATGGGCATCACCCACATGGACACCATCCTCCCGGACATGAGCGTCATAGACACCATCCGCATGGACACCATCCCCATGGACACCATCCCCATGGACACCATCCCCATGGACACCCTCCTGATGGACATGATTTCCATGACTATGGACCCTGTGACCCACCCTCTAATAGCCAAGAACTCAAAGAGCAGCAGCATTGGGGCCATGGCCCACCACATGGCCACGGCCCACCACATGGCCACGGCCCACCACATGGCCATGGCCCACCACACAGCCACTCAGGAAAAAGAGGCCCAGGTAAAGGGTTCTTTACTTTCCACCATCTACAAATCGGATCCGTCTACCGACTCCCTCCACTAAATACAGGTGAAGTTCTCCCTAGTCCTGAAGCCAATTTCCCCAGAGTCTCATTGCCAAATTGCAAGAATCCCCTACAACCAGAGATTCAGTCCTTCCCCGAGATAGCCTCGGAGTCATGTCCTGGGGAATTCAAGAGTGAGTTTCCACAAATTTCTAAGTTTTTTTCAAATATGCCTCCAAAATAAAACCTGATTCCTTGGTAGGGGGAAAAGGGACAATGTCCTGAATAAATAAAATGTGAGCAGTAAGAAATGAAAAGTGTGGTTATTTTAACTTTATTATCATACTTAGGGAAGTATGGGAAGGAAGCCAGCACAAGACAGACAGACAGATGGAAGTGAGAGGAAGGACATCAACCCTATGAACCAGAGCTGAAGTCTGTCACTGCATCAGATGGGGCACATCTCTAACACTCAGAATTCCCCTCTTCCTTGGGTAAACACCCTAATTCTAGAATCTCTGTTCATACTTCTGCTATGGCATGCTGAGCTGAGAGTTCACATCACAAGCACAAAACAGAAAGGTAACTAGAACCAGCATGGGACTTTTAATCTCAAAGGCTGCGTCCAGCAAGGCCATACCTCTCAAACACCCCCAGAAAACACCACAAACTGGGGACCCAGTGTTCAAATATCAGCCAATGGAGACATTCTCAATCAAACCACGGCAGTAGGCATACCAAGGAAGTATCTATTACTTTAAAAAAGATGATTATGAAAGTGACTCACATTGTCTCCTGGTGATTTCTCGTCTACATTCCATCATAAAACACTTAATAAAACTGACTTGTAAGAAAGTTTTAGCATAATCACCAACGTCAATTCAGATGTTCAAGAAGTATCACCCATGTTCCTACTAATTCCCATTTCATGGAGGCACTCAACTGGGCTAAGGGGAACTAACCCTAGTCCTCACTGAAGTCCCTGCCTCTCCCCACACAGATTTGTACCACATAGTGCCACGCCTGGGTAGACACAGAGGGCCATCAACCTGTGCACATCTCTCCTTGAGGATCAATGGCCACTTCTAGATCCAACTAAAGATAAAGGAGTCCCTGGAAGATCACTATGGACAAGAGTGCCCAGATGATGCACCCATGGCCATTCCCTCCAGGGATCTTGCCCAGAACGTGTTTCAGAAGGGAGGATCGAGCTCTGCGTCTCAGGAACCCTAGACTCTATACTTCCACTATCCTTCTCATCTCTTCCACAAGATGGCTTCTCTCTAGTCTCGGATGAGTTTGCCTTGTTTATTTTTGGTGCTAGACAATTGTTTTTCTTCCGCTTTAATACTCTTCCCCCTTTTTTTCTAAGTCTGAACTCTCACACCTGGAGCCAGGTTAATCAATTTCAGATTTTTCTCTACCTCCCAGCCACAGTGGTCATTAGTACTCTAACTACTGAATAACCGGCATGGCCCAGGCACTGACCAGTTCTGACAACCTTTTAGAACATTTACCAACCAGAAATAACCAGTGTGACCATTCTATGGGGGGACAGCTAAATGTTGCCCTAGGGAGACACGTTCATTTACGGAAGCATGAACCCAGAGTCAGCTGCCTGAGTGAAGAGTTGAGAAAAGGGAGATATCAGGAAGCCAAGAACGAAACAACTTAGGTTAATAACTCCAAATATTATTTTCCCACAGATTTGCTTTGTTATTTATTTATTTTGTTGTTGTTTGTTCGTGGTTTTTTTTTGTTTTTGTTTTTTTTGTTTTTTTTTTTTTTTGAGACAGGGATTCTCTGCATAGCCCTGGCTGTTTGCTCTGTAGACCAGGCTAGCCTCAAGCTCAGAGATCTGCCTGCCTCTGCCTTCAAGTGCTGGGATAAAAGGTGTGTGCCACCCACCACTGCCCAGCTTGGTTTGTGATTTATAAAGCACTTTGACAAATATTTCTTGAGTTTATGAAAATACATCTTGAAAAGCATCAATATTACAATCCCTGATTCATTTTAATAGGTAGCCTATTGCAGTTGCTAAGATAAACAATATAGCATTAAAAGCAGGAAACAAGTTGGGCATGGTGGCGCATACCTCTAGGTCCCAGAACTCAGGAGGCAAGAGGCAGGAGGATCTCTATGAGTTCGAAACCATCCTGGTCTACATAATGAGTTCCAGGACAGTCAGAGTTATATAATAGGGAGAGCTTGTCTCAAAAAACAAACAAAACAAGAAACGAACAAACAAAAACGTTGGTCCTATAAGGAGCGTCTTTACATTCAACGAGACCACACCTACTCCAACAAGGCCACACCGACTTCAACAAGGCACACCTACTCCAACAAGGCCATACCTACTCCAACGAGGCCACACCTCCTAATAGTGCCACTCCCTCTGGGCCTATGGGGGTCATTTTCTTTCAAACCACCAGAGTTAGTAACCTGTAGAACTCAGGTTAGAGCTCTGATCAGCCTCCTCCAGAGCCGTATTTTTTGCCCACTGGCTCTTCTGATTGTGAGTCTCCAATGGAAACATCCACAGTGATCCAGGGCCTTCACGATAGTGCACTGTGACTCACTTCCTCGGCCCCATCTTCCAGCTCCTGTATTTCTTCCTCTTCCTCCTTCCACTCAACCTGGAAACTTATCTACAGTGAAGAAATACTGTGAAAACATCTTTTATAATCTAAGAGCCTGGAACATTTGCTGGGCCTCCCAGCCAGAGTTAATAATACACCTTGAAGTCACTTAAGACCTAAGACTTGCTGTCCTACTGTGCACTGAGTATATCTGTTTGACCCACCTTCTTTTTTTTTTTTTTTTTTTTTTGGTTTTTTCGAGACAGGGTTTCTCTGTGTAGCTTTGCGCCTTTCCTGGAGCTCACTTGGTAGCCCAGGC